GAGGCTCCCGGACAGTACCCACGTGGCGCGCCCCAGGGCGCCCGGGGGACCCATAGTCTGCCGGGACCCGCGATCCCGAAGTGGCGGGCGCGGCGGAGCCTCCGGAGCTTCCGGACCCCAGGCCCGCCCCGCCGCCGAGCATGCTCAGTGCGAGCGGCAGCGGAAAGTTTTCTGGAACAAACACCCTCATCTGGGGCTTGGCGGGAAGGAGGGAGCGAGGCTGGCGGCCCGGGCGCCCGGCACCTCCCAAATCAGACCGGTCACTCCCCCGCTCCCATGGTTACAAAGGTCGCGGGGGCCCCTCTACTAGCGACGACCCGGTGGTTCTGTCTCAGCTCAGACTCACCTCCCCTAGGAAGTCTTCCCTGAAGCGCCAGGCCGAATCTAGAATTTGCCCCAGCCTCACCAGCCCCCCATTAGAAAACTGAGAAACACTGGGAGAGGCAGGGCCATGGGTCCTGGAGAGCCCAGAGGGGACAGGACAGCACAGAGGGGTAGGGAGGGGGACTGCAGGGAGGGGGCAGAGAAGGAAAAGCGACTTGCTGGTTCAATTCCGCCCAAACGCTGGTTCATACCTTGGTATCTGAAGCCAGGCAGCAGCTGAGCAAGCTCTCTCTGAACTTTCTGCAGGAGGCAGGAGGAGGGGGAGATAAGAGACCCTAAGAGGGGGTCTTGGGACAGTTGCTCTGCTTCTAAATGTTTCCTCATCCCCTTCAGGCCTTGCTGATCGCTCACATCTGTTCACTGGGGAGAGGGCCTCTCTCCTGCCAGCCTTTCTGCAGGGCAGCCTGTCAGGCTGTCTGCAGCCTCAGGCCAGGGAGCCCATCTCTTCGTTCCTCCAAGGACAGGCCTTTCCTGACCTGACATGGACAAGGTGATGGAGTTTAAGAATCTGAGAATTTATTAGCCAAGCCTCCCACATCAGGTATGCCACCTTGGGGGTATCTGGCAGCATTCCAGGAGTGACAAGGCCAAAGGCAAAATGCCAGCATCTTACTGGATCATCAATGTTATTTGATGGTGAGTAATCTAAAGGATGATTTTAACATTCAAGCAACTTTAAAAAAAAGGAAAACACAAAGAACATTACATTTTTAAAACTAAAGCCTGAGCATCCAAAGAAATACCCAGCATAAAACAAGAACTTCAGATTATTTCCTGTTGCTTTGCCCCCCATGGATTTGTCACCCCACTTCCCCTGGGTGACGGAGCCACGAAGGATTACTCAAAGCCCATCTCTTCTGAGCAGTGAGAAGCCCCGGAACCCTCAAGCGAGAGGCATCCCTTCCTTGAGAAATTAACCCCAAATTGGGGTTCTCTTCCTGCACTTATTTTCCAGACCAGGAAGTTACAGAAAGAGAACATAGGTGGGGTTATCGTTAAACAGTATAGGCTGGTCACTTTCAGTGAAACAAGTCAGATGACATTCCATTAGACAATTAAGTGATCCACCAACAAAAGCTTGATCTTAGCGAACATTCCTTCTCTCCCCAGCAATTTTCCAGTATCTTTCCACATCAATCAGGAACTAGTCGCCTTTGAGCCAGCAACCTTGCTATGTTAGAATTCTTTATCTTACACCAGAGACTTTATAGCCTGAGGAAAACTTCCAGTCCTCTGCAAGGTCAATACTTGAACTGCAAGGTTTTGGAAAACCAGGCCCTGTGAAGTACATTTGCTTGAAGAATCCTCTACAATTTCCCCTGTAGACCTTCCCAGGAGCCTTGGAGATGCTTCTAAGGAAATATTTAAGAATCTCCACATAGCAGAGCATGGGGTCCCCAGAGTCTGATGTGACTATATTCTGTCTTCAAAGGAGTGACCTCTGCTCTCTAGCTGTCAGTTTCTTCATCTATAAAAAGGAAATTTAGGTAGTAGTTCCCATCTTGCCCACCTAGAAGGGTTGATGAGGACATGATGGAAGAAACTAGAAACTTGAGCTGGATATCCAGGTTGAAAGCACAAAAGCCCTTCTCTGTTGAAGCACATCCCCTGGTACCCCTGCCCTTGCCCTTATAGGGAATTAAGCTCCTAAGGGAAGGAGTGTGTCTGTGTGTGTGTGTGTACCGACGCATTCACTACTGCACCCCCGCAGGACAAGGGCTAGCATCTAGTAGCTGCTCAGTAAATAGCTGCTGAAAGAAAGAACACGGTGATGAACTCATCTAACTGTTTATCTCCCCACACCCCTGAGATCCTCAGTGCCTGAGCCTTGTCTGGTTCTTCACCGGCCCCAACCCCCACTCCCACCCTCACCCACACCCACACCCAAATCGGGTTCTGCACACATGCTGAGTGGATGGGTAAGGACGCAGTGTCCTGGCCCTGAGGAGACTGGTGTCATACCAGTCATTGGTCACTCGGAGGCTCTGCCATAAGCTGCCTCATCAGGATGGGTGGATAACAGCACCCTTCTCAGGCTTGTTGAGAAAGTCGATGAGACCACCAGGCTACATGCCGAGCATATCGTAGGCGCCCGGTGAACCTAAAGGAGCAAAGCCCTCCCGGGTGGGCGAGGGGCGGGTCTGCCCTGGCAGCCGAGGCGGGGTGTCAAGCGCGGGCATGCTCAGTGCACCGCCGGCGCTGGGGACGAGGCGGCCCAGAGTTTGGGGCGGCGGGTCCAGGCTCCTCCCCCGCGGCTGGGCCTGCCCAGGCCGGGAAGTCGGGCTCGAAGTCCCGCGTCGCCGCCCTGGCGGGGACCTCGCG